AGTGGTTCTCAGCTCTGTTCCTGGGAGGATTCCTTACTCTCATTGCTGGGCCCCATCTCCAGAGTTCCTGAGCCAGTCTGGGTGGGCCTGGAGCTTGGAATCCTAACAGGTTCCCAGGTGCTGCTGCGGGCTGGGGACCACGTCATGAGGATCACTGGGCTCAAGGCAATGAGGAGCATTTCTGGCCTTTGACTTGGGGGGGGCTAGTGATAACATTGTGGGGGGCACTGGAGGAGGAGGGTGCCTGCAAGCACGAGGTGACGAGCCTCAAGTCTTGGGTTGTGGAAGTGGGAAGCAAGGCGTCTATGCAAGAGAGAATCTGAAGGAAAAGAAGACGGCGGTGACTGGTCCATGTTATGGGGGCGGAGGCTGGCTTTGGAAAGAAGACCAGGAATCTGTTTAGGTACCTGACATTTGCAGAGACAGCAGCTGACCTTTGAAGGGGGTTCTGGGTGGCACTCCAGGACGGGGGCAGTGGGACTCGGCACGGAGGCTGGGAAGCCCTTCTTGCCTTTGTGGGGTTGGGCATGCTCCTGCCACAGGAGCTCCGCTGAGGCCCCCCAGAAAGGCGGAGGCAGGTGCAGGAGGGCCTGTCATCACAGGATTGTTTTTCCTTCTTGGAAGAAGACTTGGCTCACGCAGAAAGCAGACTAACAACCCCATTTGTTCTGTACTCTGGAACCACCCACGCTAACCTGTCAATGGGGAGAAGACCCCCCCCGTCATGCTGGCTAACCAAGGAGCCACAGCTTTCTGAAGAAGGGACTCAGAGTGTTCCCTGGGCCCTGAAGTCCCAGCGAGGTGGACAGTCATGTGGCGGTGTCCCCTCAGGTGTGCCCTTCAGTCCCGGAGCCTCCGCAGGACAGAGACTATACGTGTATTTTTTACATTATTTTAAAAGCATTTGCTCCATTCTGCTGAGAATTCGTGCTGACGTCCGCAGGTGAGAAAAGTCCCTATGTCCTTCATGCATTTTGCACGCAGCCAGGAGGGCTTATCGCGCTTCGGAGCCCGGGCCGGAGTTAACACCACCTGATTGGTAACGCTCTCCTAAGGCAGCACAGAAACACTTCAGACCATCCCCCAGAACAAAGAGAATCGCCAGGGAGCCACTCAGAACTGTTACAGCCTGATGCATTTTATTGGACGCACATTGCTTTGGGAGGATACTGTGCATCTTAGCGAACTGCTGACTTCTCTTTTAAGAGCACCACTTCTGGAGGATGACTGCGCCCTTTCAAACCCCTGGGCCCCTAGCTCTGTCTACCGCGGGCATTCCCTTACAGCCCTGCGTCTTTGGATGAAGTCTGCAGGCCCCTTTCATCTCCGGCAACCTCAGGCTCATTGCTGCTGTCGCTCGCTGTCCTTGGTATGACACGGAGGCCTTGGGAAGACATCCCGGGTCTCATTTCTCAGCATAAGTGGTGACCAGGGGATGAATGCAAGTCCAAGTAGCCCCGCCCAGCTTCTGGGGCCACCGGGCAGCTGGGGGCTGGAAGCCGGGCCAGGGCAGAGCCCCAGGGTCAGAGGAAGGTCTAGTTCAAACCCAGGCTACCTTCAGACATCTCAGTCAAGGCAGAAGGTGGCCAGTGTCTCCGGCACCTAGCTAAAAGCTAGCAGGGTGCTTCTCAACCCTGACTGCACTTTGAGATCTCCTGGCGAGCTCTTAGTACCAGGGCCTGAGTCCCTGCTCCCTTCCCCCCAACTCCTGACAGATTCTGGTTCAGTTGGCCCAGAGTGAGGCCTGGGCATCAGGAGTTTCCCAGATGGCTCCCCTGCATAGCCAGGGATGAGAGCCTGTGAGTAAAGGGGATTGCAGAAACGCCCTGCTGGTCCAGTCCATTCCATTGCATTCCAATCCATTCTCTTTTACTCTGTTTGCATTTTCCTGAGTAACTTCTGTGGCGGATACTGGAAAAAATGAGAGCTAATTGTGTTCCTGTCTCAAAGGAACAAACGGTCAGGTGGTGGCAAATGCCCCATAATGCAGCGGGCAGGGAGGAGGAAGAGGGAAAGTGGGGGAAGGATAAGGAGGGCTGGCGAGTGTTTGCCCTGGGGCTAGATGGTGTGTGTGTAGGGGGCACAAGTGGCACTTTTCAGCAGCACATTTTATCATTGGTAATGTGATGACAGGATGAGCATGAAGAGACATGTCAGGGAGTCTTGGGACAGCCTGAGACTGGGGGAGGGAGGGGCGGGGCAAAGTCCTTCCTTGCTCTGGCTCCCCCAGGGCTGTGCCGGGCGACTTTGCTCCCGATGCTAGTCCTGGCCATGCCCGCTTGTAAGCCGGGTCCCAGGGAGCTAAGAGCTGCCAGGTAGAGTCCAGACTGTCCGTCCACGTGATCATCTTACCATTGTTACCACTGTCCTCCCCAAAGGGGTGGAAACCAGCGTGCGGGTCACTGCAAACAAGACCTGCTACAGCGAAGGGGCTACTTCTGCTGGTGGCTTGGGTGTGTGCACCTGTGTGCCATGGCCCTGTGTCACACTGCACGAGAGTTACCCATTCCCTGGCCTTTTACACCGTCGCTTATGAAGGCGAGCACTGGACCGAACGAGTACCTGGCTTTGAAAGGGATAGACCCAAGGGGGCTCGTGACCTGCCAAAGCGAGAGCATCTGAGGCAGAGTTCAAGTTGTGCATATCCTCCAGGGAGCACGGGGCGCCTTCCATGTGGGGCTCATCCCACGTGCTGTGCCCCACTTGCCAACTTTATTGTAACCCATGGAAGTGTTCGCCGCGGTGAGGTGTGTGTTCTGTACCGAGGCTTTCTTTAGGTGCAGCCCCAGCGGGGTTCTGCGTGCCCCGCCCCCCTGCCACCCGGCCACCTTCTGCTTCCACTCGTTCCATCTCCCCAAAGTATCTTCGTGAGCAAATTTACGTCCTCACTTCAAAGGAGAGGGAAGAAAGCCGTGCTTTCCCGCGGGTCATGCAATGCCACTTCAAGACAGTTTTATTTGGGCAGTAAAATCTCGGAGTTGTTCTTGGCAGAAGTTCTAATGAAATGGAAACCTTGAAATCTGCTAGGAGCCGGAAGTAACTTCTCACCCTGTGTTTTGGGGACTCCCCCTGTGTTTTGGAGGCGATCTCATGAGTTGATCTGGTTTACTTTCGGAGAGGTTTGGTGTCCAGACATCCACTCTAACTGCTGAGGAGATCTGCCGTTTGGCTTGAGCGAGCTCTGTCCTAGAGACCAGAGGCCTTGCTGTGCTGGAGAGCAGAGGTTTGGGTCACATGGGGGCTAGTTGGAAATGCACGTTCTCGGGGCCTACCCAAGACGCCCAGGTGGTTTTCACATGTGGTGGACTTTGAGAAGCACTGCTTCCATGTGATGTGGCCTTTAGAAAAGAGGCTCAGGGTGGGGAGAGAGGAGAGATGATGCTCATTTCAGCCAAAGACTGACCTGCGAGCTGCGGACTCTGTTTAGTTAGGATGGTCCTGGGCATCCACCTGGAGGAGGCACCGTGGGCCGCGCAGCCCAGCGTGCAAACTCAGGTCCTCTAGCCTGGTGCCCAGTGGGGTTCCTTGCTGGAGGTTTACCTTGCTTTGTTGACACCTCAGAAGGGAAGCTAGCAGCAGGCATCCCAGGGAAGGAGCACAAATCGGTTTCATGTGTCAGCATTGGTTCTAAGGGCTGGGAAGAGTTCTCTGCACCATATAAATGTATTTTAGAATTAAGATTCACTCTGTTAAAGGAGCAAATGAAAAATCTTAGTTCTTGAATTTTTCCTTCCATTTACAAGTTGTGTCCTATTTCTTTTTTTTTTTTTAAGATTTTATTTATTTATTTGACACAGAGATCACATGTAGGCAGAGAGGCAGGCAGAGAGAGAGAGAGAGAGAGAGAGAGAGAGGAGGAAGCAGGCTCTCCACTGAGCAGAGAGTCCGATGCGGGGCTTGATCATGACCTGAGCCGAAGGCAGAGGCTTTAATCCACTGAGCCACCCAGGTGCCCCTGTGTCCTATTTCTAATCTAGCAAGTGTTTTAAACTCTTTATTGAAATATAATTAACAGTGTTATATTAGTTTCAGGCATACAATATGATTCAAAAATTCCATACATTTTCCCGGGCTCCTCTAGATAACTATACTCTTAATCCCCTTTATCTCGAAGGTTTTTTGCAATCCTTTTCAAGGAAGCTTTGGATAATATTCGGCGCCTCTTGTAAATTTGGTGATTAACAACCTTGAAACCTTTAAAACTGTGTTGAGAAATGTAACATAGTCAGTTTCTTTTCCAAGTTCTCTGGTTGGCTGAGAAGCCCTTTGCAAGTTATTTCAGTGATCCCTACAAACCCAGTAAGTTTAAACGTGGGAGGTCTTAAGTTCTCTGACACATTCTAATACCGCTTCTAAACGTACTAAGATTTTAAAATCACAAATCTAAGCCCGTGATGGACTTTAAATTAGGTTCACAAATCTCATCCAATGGGTAGACTCTGTCGATTTCTCTTAAACACCACAAGTTCTGAAAGAATGTATAAATCCCCTGCCACAAATCTATTGATATATTGATACGTTGATATTGATACAGGACTGGCTCCATTGTCTTTCATTCTTAATATCTCCAGGGATAAGATGCGTTTCCCCTCCCCTCATTAAGGATGTCCTTGTCATTCATCCCCAACAGCTTTGGCATTGCCTCATCAAGTAGACTTTTGGAGGCTGATTTTAAAAATAATTTTTAAAAGAAAGTTTTTTTCTATTACTAATAATACGTTTTTTTGAAAGTGAACCTGGGAAGTCAGTGCTGCTAGATGTTATCTCTGCACCCCTGACCCCGCGCCATGCCCCTCTCCCCAACACAGCCATGGGGTTGGATGTTTCAAGGCCCACAGAAGCTCCTTCTTGGGTTCGGTGAATCAGAGCACCGTGTAAAGCAAAAGCCCAGTCGTGAGGCTCAGGCCATAGCCAGGTGGTCTGGCTGCCCTCGGGTTGTCGGGGTTGTGGGTGTGCGTGAATGAGGGTGTTTCATGTCCCGTTTTCCTCTTTCTGGGCAGGTTGGCCTCATCCAGCTTGGGCAGGAGCAGGTGCTTATCCAGCCCCTCAACAATTCCCAGGGCCCGCTCAGCACACGGGAGCATCTAGTCAGGCGCAAATGGTCCTCGGCACCCAGCCCCTCCACCGACGCCCACGGTCCTGGGCAGCTCTGCCAGGTTCTAACAGGTGAGTCTGGGAAACAGCACGCTTGACCACACATGCCATTCGGCAGTACTGCATATCCCCAGACACACTCGAGTCCCGTGAGCAACCACCTACATTCCCCTGTATTTTGAAGCTGTTTTGTTTATCTCCCCTTAGGCCACTGCCTTCCCCCTCTCTGTCTGGATTAGGGTTCTTATATTCTGTTCCTCTCTCTATTCGAGCGACCTGTGGACTCAAGGTCAGGTGTTTAAGGACACCTCACAGTCAAAGAAATGGTCACCACTGTGTCACCAGCAGTCTTCTTGTGAGTGTCCCCTGATAAAGATGGATAAATGGCTGCTCATGGGTGGCATTTCCTCCCCGGCCTGAGGGCATAGGACCCCACGGCTGAGCTTTGGAAGTTGTGCTTTTGTAGTTTAAAGACTTAATCTCTGGATAAAAAAAAAAAAGTAGTGTCTCTGTTTGGTATTCCAGTGACCTCAGAAATACATCCGTGCTCGGACCCTCCTTTAGGACAGCTTTCGGATGTATGAGCAAGCCTTGCAGCCCAGCTCAGTTGTTGCCTGTAGACCCGACCTCATCCAGGGAGCAGCCCTCTTTAGCTGGTCTGCATTGGCAGGGAGATAGTGGAGGTGATTTTGCTGAATCCAGGCCATCTATGAAACCCCCGAAGAACTCCGAGGGATGGAGAATGCCACCGTACATGAGAGTTTGGCTCTGCTCCTTCCTGTCCCCTTACAAAAGTAGGGGAAGGTGGATCTCAGCAGGAAATGACCAGTGACTAAAACATGCTCTTGACTTGGAAGCAGGGGCTTGGGGGAGTTGGTCGGTTGTATGTCTGGGCCTGATGTTGGGGTGTTCTTTTAAACATCAGGCCCCTGAAAGTCTTGGTGAAAGAGTTGTTTGTTTTGTTTTGTTTTGTTTTTAAATCTGCCTTCGAATGACTGTTGGTCATTCTACATCTGTGTGCATTTTCGCTTAATCTGAATATGTCGTTTCAGAGGTAGGGGGATGAGGCCAAGGCAGTGGGTCTCAGGGTTGGAGAGGCTTAACAACTACTCCCGAGTGGGGTCCTGCCCCTGGAGAGCTGTTTTCACTGGTCTGGAGCACGGTCTGGGAATCTGGTGATTTAAAAGCTCACCAGGTGTTCCTAGGGTTCAGCTGATGCTGAGAACCACTGCACTAAGGGGTATTAAACTTGAGTAACAGCACCGGTGGGCCATCAGAAGTGGGTTTTTCAGGTGAGAACCACCTGGCAGGGGCCCACAAATAAGTCCAAGGGCAAGTACATATTATTCTCACTTTTACCTCAATTCAAGCCGGCGCTCATTGACTGCTGGTCTGGATCGGAAACCTAGGGTGCTTGTGGATGATATCGTAGAATATTTGTCTCATTACCCCCCGCCATCCTCTTTAGGGGCATGCATGACCCCCAGGATTGCTGACAACGTGATAAATTGTGCTCGGGTTTGCATTTTTGTCCCTGAGGCTGTGGTCAAGGCACACTTTTGATCGAGTGTTGAGCCTATAATGGAGGAAATTAAATGAAGAAAACCTGGGTGGGGTGGATGTGATAGAAACTATGTTAAAATAAGAGCAGTTGTGTAAGAAATCTCTGAATTTGCTTAAAAAATCCTCTCCCCTTCGCTGCCCCCACTTCTCATGTCATTGTGCTCTGCGGTGCTAGAGTGATGTAAGGCCAGCGCAGACTGTGTCCTGGGTAGGAGCACAGACGCCGGAGAAGGGTATCTATTTCCTTCTAGTCCTTCTTGCTTTGGGTGACATACTCCATAAATTTTATTCCTGTGTTGAGAAAGATCTTGGGCCTTCTAATAGGTTTAGTCATTAAAGCAGTCAGGCCCTATCAAGGGTGGGTTGACTTCCTGGGGATCTAGAAATTCCATTGAGAAGTTGAGAAAATAATTCTCTGGGAAACCAGCAAGACACATTTTTGGCTTCCTGGAAATAGAAATGAGATGAATCATCAAGGATTTCCTATGGGAACATATTCTTTATGGCTGAACATGGCGGTCCTAGGTGTCCTTGTGCTTTGCCTTGGATCTTATGTTACCCCAACCTTGCACCTGGCCTAGGAGTAACCAGCTGGCCTTGCAGGTGAGGAAGAGTCTGATAATTCTTCCTCCTCCATGAGGCGCTCCATTTACCTGGGAGCTGAACTGTGGTCAGCCACCCTGTTCTCTAGGCAGACAAAGGGACTAGCCCAGGGACAAGGCCACCTGGAAGGACCCACTGCCTTCTTGTAGGTAGTACTGAGGTTGCATTTCTAGCAGGCCTTGGGGCTCCCAGGGAGAGGATAGGCTGATCCTATTACCTTTATAGCTTCTTATTTTTAGGACCTTATAAAATGATTCATAAAGTGTTCCAGATTGGAACTTGGCATGAAAAATGTGGAGTCTGCGAGCCTTCCTTCCTTTCTTTCTTTCTTTTTCTTTTTTTTTCTTTTTTCTTTTTGGGTCACAGCATGAATTTTTGAAGGTTTTGGGGGTTATTCTCAGCAGCAAAAATGGTGCTTTGGATTATTTTGAAACATTTCTCAGTCTTCAAAGCTTTCTTTCTGTCTTCTATGTTCATTTTAATTTCTCCGGTTGGATTCAGTTTAGAATCTCCCCATTTTCATAGGCTTTAGTAACAATTTCAATCTCTGTGTCTTCCATCATGGGACGTGTAACATGGGATGGTCGAGGTAGATGGCAGAACATTAACATTCCTACAAGGCCCTGTCAGGTTAGGAAACCTACTGTGTTTCGGTGTGTTTGTTAAAACACAGATACACCATCCAGCAGCGGTTCCTGCAACGACATTGATGTCTACTTTATGTAGACATCATTTACGATTGTTTTAGAAAACCGCTGTAGTTATTTTGTAGTATTGTTTGGCTCATTTGTAGTGTTATAAAGTGAATTGTAATGAGGATTTAGAAGGTGCCGTAACTCTTCAGAAACTGTATATTGCCAGTTTATGCAGTCGTTTGCCTAACAAACATATGGTCCGGAATAAGTCATTGGTCGGGACTCGTGTTTTACGTCCATTAAGATTCCTTTGGTTGGAAATGACAGACATCAGACTGGTGTCACCACCCAGCACATTGGTGCCCCGGGCTCGTGGAACCGAGGAGCAGAGTGGGAGGCTGGACCTCAGGTAGGCCTGGCCGGCCTGGGCTTCTCAGCAATTGTTTCCTCTCTCTCTGAGAGCCTGTCCTCAGCTGGCTTCTCTTGTAGTGACAATGAGGCAGCAGGGCTCAGGAGATGAACTCTCTCCTCTTTAATGGGGAGTTGAGGCGGGTTGATCTGGATTGGAACTTTACCTGCTTTCGGGTCTCCAATGGTTTCCCATGTCTTGAGGCAGGACCAGAAGAGCCTAGATCCCAGTCCCCACATCACCGTGGAGGTACCATTCTGCTCTCTGTTCTTGTCCCGGCATCCTGCAGGCCACCATACTTGGAAAAAGTCTGGTAGAGAAGATTCAGGGCACCCCTGCTCCAGATCTAATCCATCCTCTCAGCTCACACAGTTGATAAGGACTTGGCTGGTTCTCTCGGACTAACACAAGATCCTCTGTCTGCTGCTGCTTCATCCTGCCTGTGCCATGGGGAATGCTTGTGGCTGCTGGTCTTTGCTCACTTACGAAGGGCTCAATCCCTCAGGACCTCGGAGATTTAGTTCTTACTCCCAACTTCATCGAGACCTCAGGTCTCCAGTGGATTAAAAAGAAATGATTTCATAGTTTATTCAGTGTTTTTTGTTGTTGTTTCAGTGGTGGTGATGGTCTCCCATGTTGTTCTACATCTCAGCTAGTAGAAGAACCCAAAATAAATGGAATTAAACATGCTACTTTGAGTTTCTCCATCTTAATCTCTTAATATTGACAGATAAAAATATTAACACAAAGAACAGACCACCATTATTTTAAGTATTACTCCAGCAGAAAGAAAGAACAGTGCTAGAAGCTTGACTCTGTCTTCCTTGGGTGTGACCCCAGAAGAGTCCCTTGATATCCATGTGTCTCTGTTGTAGTTTGTTAGGGCTTCCAGAACAAAGTACCACAACCTGGGTGGCTTAAACAGTAGGCATTCATTTCCTTACAATTCCGAAGGCCAGAAGTCCAAGATCAAGATGTTGGTAGGGTTGGTTTCTCCCAAGGTCTCTTTCCTTGGTTTGTAGATGGCCACCTTCTCCCTTTGTCCTCACACGGTCTTCCTTCTGTGCACTTCTCAGTGTTATTGCTGAGGAACACACAGATGAGGGATGATGTGATCCTTCCAGCCCCATGGTGGAATTGGCCGGGGGGGGGGGGGGGGCATGTTTTTGAGAACACTCACAAATATCTAAAAGGTAAAAACAAATTTAGGAGAAATTAGAAACAGGCTGTACAAAGGGACCCTTTCTATAAGAATAAAGGTCATAGCTGGCCAGTCATCTGTTCACATATTTTTCTTAATAAATACTGAAATTGCTGCATAGCCTCAGACAAAGTGGAAAGGACTGAGCCACTCCGACCCTTAGTTTAATCATCTGCAGCTCAGTAATGTCATCTATCTCTTAGTGTTTGTGAGTGTTACAGGTGATACTGTGCAAGTTATCCCTTAGCCGCTAGCAAATTTTAGCTATGGTGGCAGCTGCTGTGCTTGTAATTATTATTTGTACCCCCATTCTTCATCCTCAGGGGACCACTTAAATGCCTTCATTCTGTATTCAGTGGGAGAGAAAGATAAACCCTACAGGGCATTGAGCTGGGAGCTGAAAGCTCTCATTATTCTTGAATCCACCATTCTTGACTCTTGGACAAATCTAAAATGAAATCAAGGAATCTTAGTGTTATCTAGACCAGAAGTTGCCCTGGAAGGTCATATGCTTACATTTTCCCCCTCCCTTTTCATTTATTTGGCCATTAAGTATTTGTTGACCCACCCTCCCCCACCAGGGACTGGGAACACTGGGGTGAGCTTGACACAGCATAGTCCCTGCCTCTGGGGAGCTTATGGTTTGGTGGGGGACACAGAC